TTCCGATCTACGGTTTACACTGAGTACAATATTGTATAACTGTATTAATTCAACTGTAAACCTAAAAATGTACAACTAATTTTGAAAGAGATGTACCATAGCTCAGAAAAATGTTATTGAATAGGTTAATGCTGTTGTAATGAAATGCTTCTTCTAATTAGAAAAAACAAAAGAAAATGCCTATGAAAAATGCAAAAAGAAAAAAATAGTATGGTGGGCTGGGCATGGTGGCGCATGCCTTTAATATCAGCACTAGGGAGGCAGAGGCAGGCGGATCTCTGTGAGTTCAAGGCCAGCCTGTTCTGTATAGTGAGTTCCAGGACAGCCGGGGCTACAGGGAGACCCTGTCTCAAAAAAAACCAAAAAAAAAAAAAAAAATAGTGTGCCCCTTTTCACAGAGCCATGCATTTCTAAACTGCAGGGAGCGTTGTTTGTTCAGGGGAAGACTTCTTAGACACTGTTTCTAACCTGTTAGAACATGTAAATGCCCTACTGCACAGCCTATATCTACCAATAAAATGAGGGTCTCTGTGTGGGACCCAGGTCTCGATAGATGTTGAATTCAACCAGGTGATACCAGTGTATAGTCTCGACTGAGAGCTGCCACTTTAGGGATTGATAGTGAAGATATGTCCTGAAGTCAGAGCAGGAGGAAATGAGGTGGAGGAGGTTGCCGGGAAGTGTTTTATTTGGGTTTTCCCAGAAGCAGGGCATGGCGGCAGGATTTGAGAGCAGGTGGTATATCAGGGAAGCCACCGTAGGAGGAGCTGGGAGGATAGAGGGAAAGGGGAGCAGTGGAAGGTAGCCAATGCAAATGGGAACTCCTGTGGAGTCTTGATTCTTTCCAAGATATTCTCAGTGTTTTCTAAGTCCATCACTAACTCCCAAACCCAGTGGGCAGCTCTGTCAGTGTTGATGTCCCGTGACCAGCTTCTACCCTCTAATGCAGAGCAGTGTCACTTTTGCCAATTTTTAGAGCACAGCAAAAATCAAATTCAACTTTGAGACTTGTAGACGGCAATGAGGAAAGGCATGATAAAGATTCAGACACAATATGCAGAGAAGTTTAAAAGGACATCAGGATGAGCCTTTGCTGCATGTAAGCATTAACAAGTCAGCAAATGGTGATTTCTTAAACTGACTGCTGCTCTTCACTAAGGACACTGTGCTGAGTGGGAGGCAGGGATTTGGACGAAGAGCCCCCAAACATGGGAAATTCCCAGAGGTCTGTGAGAAAGGGACTTAGAAAGGGACTAATGCACTGAGGGGCTGTCCTCACAGGGCCAAAGGGGGGACCACCCTTCCCCTTCTGCTCTGGCCCTCGTGGGGCATGAGGCATAATCTGGATTTTGGAACAGGAGGTGGCATTAGAAGTACTTGTCTTCAGGAAGCTTTTTCCCCAGTATTTTGCCTCAGGTAGCAGCTGTAACTGGTCACGGCAGTGCAGTCCAGCAGTGGGTGTCATCCTTTCTCTAATGATTGTCTGTGGGGAGAGAAAAGCAGATATAAGAATGAGAGGGATTTGTGTGTTTACCAAAGTATTTAAGAATACAAAGACTTTTCGGTTAAAATTGCACCACTGTTCTCTGACAGATCACAGATCGCATGGAATACCTTATTGAGGTTCAAATTTCCCGCAGCAACTGCATGAAGCCTTTAAATAGCAGTGAAATCTGTGTCATTCAAGAAAACTCCAAACTGAAAAAGGTAGGTGGCAAGTCAGCTCCAGTGACTTCAAGACCCATCTTGGGGTTACCAAGACTTCCAAGTAGTCAGGAAAACAGAATTTCCAAACTCTCTAGAGGTCTGATTGCTCCTGATTTGGAGTTCCAGATGGTCCACCTTGTTGGTCTTATAGTAGAGGACGTAGGGCTATGAATATAGCCTTTCCCCAGCCCCTCCTCCTAGACAGGAAGTCATCAAGGCCACTTCTGTCTCAAAAGCCCCACCATCTCTGGACTTTTAGTGTGGGAGAAGATACTGACACATGTTCACTGAAAGTCTATCCTCTTAGACTGATTCTAGCTGCCCAGCCTGTGTAGATACAAAAGAAATCCACTCGGTGCACATATCCACTCATCTAAAGTTACTGAGCACTGTTACTGACCACCTGCACCAGGTCCATTCTAGGTGCTGGAGATGAATTTCTAAAACCACGTAATGTCTCACCCTTCGTTCGTAGCCCACCTCAGATCTGGGGAGCTACATTATTTGTCCAACCTCTGTTTAGCATTCTATCACTAGCTGAGAATTGCTCAAGGGACCCTTGGCGCACAGCCTCCTGGGTATTCATTTGGTAAGAACTGGGCTCAAGTAAGGGTTTCCACGAAGGACAGGGAGTAGCCAGTCAAATAGCTGCCTTCATTTAGAGTCTTTTGGTCTCAGCCTGTATTTATTGGTCTCAGTCAGTAAGGAGTCCTGGATTGTTCATTCCACAGTACTGAGTCTGAGGTTGGTGGAGGTCCCCGGTCTATGGACACATCTTTGCTCCTTTATTTACAGGGGTGGTTCTCCAACATGACAAGGCATTACAGGGAGGCTCCATGTGCAGATGGCTGAGTCCCACTTATAGTTTCTTTTATTTTTTTAAGCTTTTACAATTATATTAGAATTTCAAAGAAAAAGAAATCCTCAGGGCAGGAGAGCTGCTAATCTTGGCAGCTGCCTTGAGGACGTGAACAGTAGGAAGAAAGAAAGACATGAGGCCAGGCAGGTTTAAGAGCTGCGTGGGAGGTCAGACACGTGGCTGACTGGCAGTCACATGGCTGGGAAAAGGAAGCTTTAGAGAAAGTACAGAAACACAAGATGCTAGGGGCAGCCCAAAGCCTTAAAGAAAGCAGGCAACCCACAGACTACATGGCTGTAGCTAGGAAGTTCTGTGCTAGTAGGTGGGATTCCAGGCAGGAAAAACTCACTAACTCATTAATACACTAGGTATTCGGCCCATCTATTTAGCATGACCCACCTTCCTAGGGGTGATCCTGTGACCAGATGATTTACCGATTAAACTTACACAAAATGGAGGCACTTGAGGTATTACATTCCCCACTGGCTCTGGGACATAAGTTAAATCTTTGACTTGTTTTTATTTTGAGGCTCATATTGGGTCCTCAGAACTGTAATTTTGATGGCATTTGGGTGCCTCTTGATCTAGGAGGCTAGGAGGAATATTACAAGAGGTCCAGTAAAACTCAATTACACCTGAATTATTGGTGTAAGAACAGTAAACCTCATCTAAGGCCATGTATGATCCATTTTTCTTTAGGAGCAGTAGGCCTAACCCCCTTCTGTGATGTAGCCTTATTCAGTAAGATTTTCATTCTGAATGAGTTCCCAGCAGATGTTGCTGCTGATGGCCTTGGGAGCACATTTTGATACCCTTTGTTGTATAAATTGAGCAAGAAATTGCAAGTACGACTAATGGAACACAACCCCATTATGTCTGACTGAAGCAGTCTCTGTAAACTCAAATTAAGCAAGTGCTGTCATGTCCAGACAATAGCAGAGACTCCTCAGAACAAACGTTTCAGTGCTGAGCATGGACTAACGCCATCCCACCTTTTTTATTTGTTTTGTCTTTTATTATTATTTGGAGGATGATTGTTTTTTAATTTTAATTTTTATTCATTCTTTGAGAATTTCATACAATGTATTTTGATCATATACAGAATACCTCCTCCATTTCTTCTTAGATCCACCCATATCTCCCTACACCCCCTGTCCTCTATTATTTTTTTCTTAAGGCCTATTGAGTCTAATTTACATTCCCTAAATAGTCTTGCTGCAGGTCCATTCCCTGGAGTGTGGTCAACCTAACCAGCATCACACCTATGATGAAAACCGACTCTCCCTGTCCCAGAAGTTGTTAGTTGGCAGTCGTTCCTCAGCTAGGGGTAGGGCTTGATGCTCATCTCTCCCCTCCATGCTGAGATTTGGGGTGGCTTGGTTGTTTTAGGTTTATATTTTCTGCTGGGCTCCTTGGAGTTTTAGGACAGTTGCTGCCCCGTCTGTTTCTAGAACACTGAGGAGAGCAAGGAGACCTGTCCTCAGCGAGCCTACTTGCTTCTAAAGTTTCCACAGTTTTGCTCAATTTTTATTACACTTTTCATCAATAACGAAAACCCCCTCTTTCTGAGTGTTTGGAATATTGCCAAACACCAATCACACTGGACAATTTTTAATGAAAATGTCTCCAGAATCTATATATCTCTATGAAATATCACATCACATAGTGGTGGCTGAAGTTCTGCTTTTCCTTTGATGAAGAGTTTTTTGTTTTGTTTTACTTTGTTTTATTTGAGACAGGGTCTCCCTATAGCCCCAGCTGGCCTGGAACTCGCTTTGTAGACTAGGCTGGCCTCAGACTCATAGAGATCTTCCTGCCTCTGTCTCCAGAGTGCTGGGACTAAAGATGTGTGCCACCATTCCTGGCTTTCAAGAAGCTTTTTTTTTAAAAAGAATGTTTTCTCCCATCAGTTATTTTTTAAGTATTTACCAAGTATATTTAAAATTTCCCTGGACTTAGTACTATTGATTAAAACAATAGATAATACAATGCTGAGCCATTTGTACACTTTTAGAAAATGACACTTGTTTTATTTGTGGTGTGGCAGTTTTATAGCTTTATTTTATATGGCTAGTTCTCTGTCACAATGACCGTGTAAGGCCCTGAAAGCTGAGGCAGGTACATGGGTAACTGGTGTAGGGAGCTTGTTGGTGAATCTCCATTCATGTTGTTTCCTGGATGAATAGACCTGATAGGGTATGGGTTATGGAATGGAACAGTTCTGGTTGCTACAGCCCAGATAGCTTTGTCAGGGCTCGTGTCAGTATCTACACTGATGTGTGTAATCTTTTTTATAAAATGATTCCAGATCTCTTAGTACAAAGGACACTTGTATACCTTGATTCTGCCCTCTCTGGACACCATGTCATTGATGGCAGAGATGGTACCCTGCCTTAAGTCTTTTCAGAAGTCACTCTGCTGGGCCTAGACTGGGAAGCAAGAATATAGAAGATGGTGTCTTCATTTGCCCTTTAGTATACAGTAGAGTCTTATATGCCACTGTGTATTTAGGATTTGACTTTATAAATACTATCCTCAAACCCTCTTGCTATACATGGTAAATGCAGAGCTATTCATACATTCCATAAAGCCAAGGGCCATGGTGGTCTCATCTCGGATCTACAGAATCACTTCTGGGTTCAAACACCCGTATACTTTGTAATTTAGAATCATTTAAATTGTTCTTACTCTTACTCTGATTGTTGAACAGAAGTAATAATCATTAAAACAAAGCATATTAGTTTGCATCTCACTTTCTTTATATTGTAGGGAGTTTTAAAGCAAGCTAAGAACTAAGCTTATTAAGTCTAATCTCCCACCAGATGTCACGAGTGCGAGTGCTGGCATTTGCAGTCTGCCTGTGGTCAGTGTGGAGCCAGGCTTGCTCCTCAGAACTGCTGGCTGGCTGACTGTGCAGCCTCAAGCTCTGTAGACTCATGGGGGCAGTGTTTGATGGGCGGGGACCCATCTTCTAGCATATTCCTAGAGTGATACCTAGTAGCAGGGCAATTCTTTTCCTTTTCTTTTGGTATGCTTATTTTAATTATTGCTGTCTTTTTCAGGAAATAAACTGCACCTTTTTGGTAAGTGCACTTCCCTGGTATGGCCAGTTCACCCTGTTGGAGAAACGGTGTGAAGATGTCTGAGGGTGTTCTTGGAGCATCCTTCCCACACATCTGCCTTTCTCTGTGATAAAAGAGTAACGGCAAGTTCAAAGCTGTCACCAACACACTTTTCCTCACGCTTGCCTCTGCTTGTTTTTCTCTTTATTAGTCCCATCAAATAAGGGATGAAATGGGTTCTGTCTTGGCACCAAGAATGACTTTTCACTGGTGGGCAGCTTGAGGGTCCCCCAGAGTATGGTCTACTTTTGTTTTCCATGTCTAGTGGAAGAGGAAATCTCTTTTGATTGCATAATAGTCCTTTACATAGCTCTGAACACAGCAGGTATTACTCAAGAGATTATCTCCAGATGTCTTGTTGGGTCTGAAGTTCCTTCCTGTGTGAGAATTCCATGTGGATAGCCTCCAGGGTGGGAGACCCACTGTGACAGGAGAAGCAGCCTGTCCCTTGGGGATCTTTGTGACCTGGGTGACTTGCATTTCTTCTGTCATTGTGAACAATGGTCAGGAAGAGAAAGAGAGGGCCAAAAGTGAACTGTGCTGTCTAAATATGTCTGTATGCATGCATGTGGTGTGTGTGTGTGTGTGTGCACATGTGTGAGAACCAAAGAGAGAATAAAAGAGGAAAGTGAGGAGGTGGAAAGGGAAGTGGATAAACAGGGATGATGGCATGAGGTAGAATTCTTTAACAGAGGTCATCATTAAATATAAATATGTCTAATGGGGAGTTACTTAATGGGTAGAGAAGTTGCAAAATAAGGAATTTCACAATATGACTGTATTTGATACTGCAGAACTGTGCATTCAAAGTGATTAATATAAAAATTTGATGTATTGCATATACTTTACCACAATTAAAAAAATTAAATGACCTTTCTATTTTTGTTTTATTTCTGTTGTGCTGATCGAACCCAAGGTTTCTTGTGACATGTCTATTTTAACTGTAGTGTTAGTTATGGTTCAGAAGGCTATGTGTATTTCCTATGTCCCTGACATGAGCCAGGTTTATCCCCCTTGCCTGGTAGACAGTGAATTTTAATATATCTTCCCAGACAGGAAGAAGGAAGTCATGAAACTCAAATGCACAGGGCCTCCACTGCCTAAGCCAACCCCTTCTGCACATCTATCCAAATGAGCATTGGGACTGTCTGTCCCTGGGGGCTTAGTGGGGCTGGAGGGAGTGGGTGTGCTGGCATGAGCATCCTGGAAGAAACTTTTCCCCTCTGAGTGTTAGGTGTAATTAGACACATCAAATTATTTGTAGTCTGCCAATGATCACAGAGGGTTAGCAAGACCTAGGGACAGAGAGCAGCACCTGAGAGTGTGGGGAGCAGCTCTAAGTCCAGGGAACCATCTTCTGAAGATTCTCCATGGTCCTCTGTGTAAAAGGTTGGGCAGGCTTGCCACCATGGAGCCAAACTGAAGGACTAGCCTGTGGCTCAGTGGAGGGGCTATTCTAGCCCAGTCTCTTACCATGTTCTGACCTCCCAGCTCTCTGCAACCATGAAGCCAGAGATGCTAATCTGAAAGGTGGAAAATGCAATGGGAAGTCAGCATGCCCTTTTAAAGCCGGTTTATTGCAATGCTAATTGGGCCCTGTGCTAATAAAATAAATAATTTTTAAAAAGCAATTTTTTCTTCTATGTCTTCTACTTTTGTATCTTCAGGTGAATTTAAATTTTTACTTACATAACATATTTTATACTTGTGCTATAGTCTTAGGCTCCAGAATCACACATATGCACACACATGCAACATAAATATGCTGTAGATATCACCTGACATGGACCCAGAATCTTTTCACTGTGGTGTTGGGCTGCGTAGGTCTCAGGGCTCTCATTGCTCATCAGTGCTGGGTTCCAGGAACCTGCCATGGATGAACTCCATTGTCAGCTGCCAAGCCTTTTTCCTGTGGTAAATTTGGTCAGCATTGGGTGTGGGCCATGAGCAGATGGACGTGGGATCAGATGATGTAAGGGTTAGGTGTTCTTCACTGTGGGATCCCAGCTCACACTTAGTAGCTGTATTCCTCCACCAGGCACCACAGGCTCCAGGTGCCCTCTCCTGCCAGCATCCTCTCTGATAGCTGCAGCAACGCCCAGTGAGTTGAGGAGGCAGATAATGGTCTCAACGATGTCCACATTCCAGTCCTTGGAATCCTCAAGTGAGATGGGCACCTAGTGAGAGCAAGTCCAAATGGTTCCTGTGTCCGGTACCAATTCCACCTCAGCCCATGCCAATGATGTCAATATGTTGAAAACCAAGGCCCAAAACAAAGTTCCTTTCTCAGATAAATAATCAAAGGGATGGAAGCACAACTCATACTATTTCTTTCCTTCTCACTCAGTGCATTTTCCAAATTGTTTTTTCTGGGACTTAACAGTCCTAACAAAAATAAACCCAACTTTACCGGTTTTCTTATGGATGCACTGTGCCCTTGACTTCATACACAACTGGCTGTAGTGAGTCTGAGGTCCTTTCCCAGCATCTGTTGGATGGGTATCCTCAGGCAAACAAGTTCACTATCAGTGTCTGGGCAGTCCCTTCAGTGAAAGTTGCAACTTCCTGTTCCCACCCTGCTCAGATACTTCATCCTCTTCCCATAACACCTACCACTTTCTTCTGCCCCTACACCATGGCTCAGTCGTGGGAGGCTTCCCTGCCTTGCGTTCAGAGAGTCTTCTGCAGGGACTTCGCAGATACATGCACATATACACCAATGTCCCCCTGATCTGTATCAGGGCCATTCCTGATGGGTTTCAGCTTCCCGTTTGCTGTGTTGCATTCTTGGAAGGACAGAGGCTCCATTAAGCTAGTGGAATGGAAAGCAAAGAGGTGGCACTGCGACATGGCAGAGGAATGGGGGGCACTCTCCCTGCCTCTCTTGACACGTCTCCAGACAGTAGTGCCTGATACTTGCTGATGGGACCTAGCTCATGACCATTTTTATCCATGTTGGAGCACAAGGAAAATGAGTTTAAAGTCTTGGCCAGTCATGGGAGTCAGACTGGCAAATGGGAAGTGAGATCCACGTAGGGGTTGGTTCTGTAGGAACCTCAAGGACACCATCTATGAGACTCCAGACTTCAAAAGGTATAGACTATATAGCCCCAGTTAGCTCACAGGATGTGAGATCCTGTCCAAAATCTCCCATTTTCTAGTTTCAAGGTCTTTACCAAGTAACTCAATACTCAATAACTCTCCCAAATCTTAGAGAAGCACCATCCCTGCCTACCTCAGAAGAGGAAGCTGGGGTTCAGGAAGGGGTAGGAACAGATATGCTGAGTAGCTTAGGTGCCCTTCATGTAGGGCTGGGGTTCCGATTCTGGGATATGGCTCTATCTACATTCTTGATTTGCATGTTACTGATGGAATTGGGCAGTGGATACAGAAGACAGTGCAGGAAAAAAGTCTTAGTCTGCCACCTCATCCCATTGTTTAATAGGAGACCTTATAATTCATCTGTAAACCTAAAAATGTACAGCCGATTTTGAAAGAGATGTACCCTAGCTCAGAAAAATGTTATTGAATAGGTTAATGCTGTTGTAATGAAATGCTTCTTCTAATTGAAAAAAAATATTTTATTGAAAAAAAATGTAGGAAACAACATATCTTAAAATGAAGTGGAGATCTTCTTTAAAGGGTAAAA